TTTTCAAGTCAATGTTCACATTGCCAATTATTATTGTCATAGTTTCTCTTCCAAACTGGTACTCAAATGAGGTCCACAATTTGGAACTGGTTGATATATCCCTCATGTCTTAGTGTATAAATTCGACCTCCACCTGTGTGGTTTTATTTGCTTTGTGAGTTGAAGAAACTGTGTTGTTAGTTTCCCACAGTCTGTATTTTGGTGATTACATCCCAATGGTGGTGTCTGATACATTCCTCCATCCTCTGTAATTCCTATATTTGTTAGTGTATCTACTGGCTTGATCAGATTTAATCCTCAGAGATGCTAGTGGCACTCCCTGAGATCTGCATTTGCCTTTGCTGGGCAGCTGATTATCAGGCTGGGCCTCTACAAATCCAATTGAAGACTTGATGTTTTCAACTAATATGACTTTGGGTAGAAGTAGGTGGGGGCAGTTACAATAGTCTACGGGGCCCAACAATGCTCGTAACTTTGCAGATTTGGGGTGGGGGGTGTCTCTTCTTTTGCTCAGTGCCAAGGCAGCATTCCTTGCAGTCCTTTTGGAAGTAGGAAGGAGGGCAAAATTATTTTATCCATCCCCATTCCCAGGGAAGATAAAGCCCTGTAAGGTGCTGGCTTTATGGCTACGAGTCTCCCACTAGTTCTGCTCCTACCAGTCTCCAAGTTTGCTGGCCTTTGTCTTCTGTCTCTCCATTGCTAATCTTTGAAAATGGAAGCTCAAGGTGAATCAGGATCAGAGGCACCTTTTGTGAAAATGCCTGTAAGTATTCTCACTTAGATTTTTCACCTAAGCTCCTATAACCATGTAATGTTTTTAGTATTTTTTGGAGAGAGTCTGACTTTGTGGCCCTCGGTAGAGTGCAGTGGCATCGTAGCTCACAGCAACCTCAAACTCCTGGGCTTAAGCGATTCTCTTGCCTCAGCCTCCCAAGTAGCTGGGAGTATAGGTGCCTGCCACAGTGCCCAGCTATTTTTTGTTGTTGTCGTCATTATTGTTTTAGCTGGCCTGGGCCAGGTTCAAACCCACCAGCCTCAGTGTATGTGGCTGGCACCCTACCAACTGAGCTACGGGCACCATCCAGTCTGAGTTTCTAACTAAGAAATATGTATGAAATACTCCTCAACATGATGAGGTTATGACTCCCCCCCCCAAAATCGAAAATATTGACAATCAAAAATGCATTTAATACACCTAACCTATTGAACACCATAGCTTAGCGTAGCCCTACCTTAAACATGCTGGGAACAGTTAACATTAGCATAGCCAAATGGGAGGTGCAGTTCGCTCCCCACAATCACAGGAGTATTGTATCACCTATCACTAGCCCAGAAAAGATCAAAACTCAAACCTCGAAGTATGGTTTCTACTAAATGCAGGTAGCACATTCGTACCATCGTACAATTGAAAAATCCCAAATCAAACCATCCTAAGTGGGGAACCGTGAAGTAGCAATGCCAACAGCACGCTTCGACCAAGGCGTGTGTACTTCCTTCCAGGAGCGCTAAGCTTGTCCTAGTCATTCAGTTTCTTTCCTAATTAAGGCTAGAAATGGATCCTGCAGAGCAGTCCTCCCCAAATCAACTTCCCCCTCAAGCTGCAGGCAGGACTTGCCCCATTAAATACCATTAATGTCTTTTGTTTTCCTTAGAGGGCAACCCAAGTTTCTCAAAATTTCACAATTAAGGATGATACTCTAAGCCTCTAAAACCTCATTTTCTTTAAATTTTTTGGGATTCATTGAGGGTACAAAGAATTAGGGTACACTGATTCCATTTGCTATATAAAGTCCCTCTAATAACTGTGTCCCACCCCCAAGAGGTGTGCCTAGAACCTCATTTTTTTTTTTTTTTT